AAGACCCAGATCTGGCGATCAACATATTCCACCCCGGCTTGAAGGATTGCTTCAAGGCTTGGCATTTAAGCCAGGCCAACAAGATACTGTCCCGGGACTTTGGCTGGGTGCAAGCAACTCCAAGGGGTTGAGCTGCAACAGGTGAGGCCGAGCCCTGGTACTGCCACTTGGGCCCCTGGATCCAGCTGGGCCTGAAGCCAACGCCTCCCCTGAACCTGTCAATGATGTGAACCAAGACAGTTCCTTGGATGGAGCCAGGTGCCTCCAGAGCGGGAAAGCTGGGAGATGTAGGTATTGCCTACGTGTGGGCTTCCGCTGCCCAGACAGCCCACTCAAGCCTGGGCACCCCCTGCGCCCACCAGACTCACCAGATCAGCCAGGTTCGGCTTCTCACCCCCCATGAAGGGCCGGTCTTTGCCCACGGCCGCCACCCACTTGTCGGCAGCCTCATAGAGGTCCTCACGGACGTCATCCTGGAGGTGGTGCCTGGTGGGGAAGGGGGAAGTCCATCAGGGGAACCCTCCGCCCAGGCTGGGAAAACAGGAAGGCTAGGGGGCCGGGGCTGCTCCCCCAGGGGCATCACACTTGCAAGAATCAGTTATCATCTGCCCCAGACAGGGAGACCATGGCCAAAGAAGGACCAGAGAGACGTGACCACGAGAAAGCAACAGAAGGCACAGAGCAGACATCCAAGCCAGTCCGCTTCCCCTGGGGTGGTGGAGGCAATCGGGAGTTCGGACTTCGAGCCCCCGGCGTGGCTTTAGACTCGGGCCTTGGGGAGAGCAGGCCCCCAGGCGCGCACGCGCACACACACACACGCACACACGAGCGCCGTCACCTGCTCTTGAGCCGCTTGCTGATGACGTACATGGCCGCTGCACCCATGTACTTGGCCACGGCACCCTCCAATGCCCCGAACTTGCCCTCCCTGACGATGTAGTCAAAGGAGGCCAGGGCCTCGGCAGGAGTGCGGTACACGTTGGGGGAGATCAGGTGCACCAACCAGTCATCCGCCCACTGCCGCCACTTCATCTCCTCCCTGTGGACAAGGTGGGGACAGAGGGCAGGGCAGGTGGGCTGCCGAAGTCAGGGCCCAGGAGGTGTGGGAGCAGGTGCACTGTCTAGACCGCACAGCGTATGGGTGGGAAGCTGAGGCTTGAGTAGGAGTTCCTGAAGTAGACTCAGCCCTGGCCGTGGCCCCAGCCCTCCTGGTCTCCCACACTGGTCCCCCTTCACGGGGTCTCGCTCAGCCTCTCCCCCAACCCCTGGGAAGACCCTGCCCTTGCCACCTCCAGGGACCTGCCCCAGCCTCACTTACATCCTGGTCTCCTTCCCACCATACATGCGCTGGGCCTCCTTCTCATCCAGCATGAGCCAGTACTTGTTGCAGAATTCGGTCACCTCCTTCCCCTGGTCGTTCACAGCCTTCATGGGTGGATAGTAGGTGATGATGTGTTCCAGGGGCTGCCTTTGGGAGACAGCCAGAGTCTCACCCCAACTAGTTCTTCCTCTGGGAGGCTGAGCCGTCGCCTGCTTGGGGTGGACGTCTACCCCGACCTGACCCAGCTCCGGAGGGGAACCATGACCAACCCACGAAAGCTTTCCAGCCTCTTGTAGGTGTCAGAGGAGGTCCTGCAGCAAGAGGGACTTGGGGCAAACACAGAAGCATCTCCCTGACAGAGGGAGATGTGCAGAGGAGAGGAAGGGGGTATTTCAGAGTACAATGCCCACCCTGCACCCCTGGAGGAACCGAGGGGAGGCCTTCCAGGAGATAAAACGGATGAAATGCAGTACCAGCCTGGGCCTCTAGGGGCTCCTTACCCGGACACCAGGTAGGTCTTGAGGGCGCTGATGATGACAGAGGAATCGTTCAGTTGTTGCTGGAGGACGAGAGGGTGGTTTAAATTGGGGAAGTGGGTCCTGGAGCCACCAGCAGGGTCACCAGAGTTCTTTAAAAATAAACACCCAGGCATTCGAGGAAACTGGTCCAGTAGAACCTTGGCATTGTTTGTCCATTGCTGGGGGTTCATCCCCAAAATCGATGCCCACAGAGCTTTCCCCTCCCCACAGAACCTAGCCTCCTGGCTCAGGCCCATCCTGAGTAAGGGAGACCCAAGTGTGGCTAATGTGAAGGAGGGTGTGGGGAGGACCTAAGTTCTGGGCCCTGCCCACTCACCTGCCTGGCCTCCCAAGCACTGGCGGGGGCAGGGTGGACTCTAGAAGCTACGCGCTAGGAGCCAAGGACTGGGCCAAGCATTCCCTGCCACTGGAGAGTATAGCCCTCTGTTGACTAATGAAGAAGCAAGCCCAGAGAGGCTAAGTGATTGGCCCCAAGTCATGTAACCAGTGAATGGCAGAGCCCCACCTTGAGCCTGGACCACCCTGATTTCAGAGCTCACACTGTTGAGCTCTGTGATGCTCTGCCTCCCTTGGGCCCAGCTGGTTCATAATCCTCACCAAGGTCCAAAGCGCCCACATTGTTCAGAGTTGCAGGGCCTGCCTCGGGGGTACTACAGGACAACCCAGGACGTGGGGGATTGCTCCCTGAGGCTCACCAAGCTCTCTCCTTCCTGGGCCAGCAGGATGGGCACCTTCCTGTAGGAGGAGAACTTGATCTCGGCCCTGCGCACAGGGTTGACTTCTACCACCTGGTAGGGCAGGGCGTGGAAGTCGAGGAAGGCGCGGACCTTGCTGCAGAAGGGACACGTTTTGTACTGGTAGAGGGTCAGCTGCAGGCGGCTGGACAGGGAGAGCTGGGCGGGGAGCAGAGGGAGGGGGGCTTCTGAGGCCTGGTGCCCAGGCACCCCCCCCCAAGCAAACTTCTCCCAAGGGAGTCTTCTAGGATGATCCTGAGAACATCAGGAGGAAGGGGGCTAGGTGGCAGAGAGAAAGGGAGACACAGGGAGGTGGGGAGCAGGCTCGTGCAGTGCACAGTCCATCCTCAAGAGCCCATACAACACCCTCCTCAGTCAGGAAGTATGGGTAGGATGAATCTTCCAGTCTCTGTTCAACATCAGACACCTCTCCTCTCCCTCCTGTCCCAAGAGGACATCACAACCCCCCTCAGGTGTGCCACTCAACCTCCCTCAACCCAGGGGACCCTCTGGATGAGGGGGCAGAGCCCAGCATTTGCCAGAGTGGGGTCTACCTCAAATCTTCAAGGGGGGAGGGTTGTATCTGGGCCTTGGGCCTGGATCTGCGAGTTCAGTACGTGAGCCCCAGGTAAGCTCGCTGCATATTCACGTTTAAAAGCCACAGCGGCAGTCCACCTCCCTCACTATTCAGATGGGATGCTGAAGCTGGACCACCGGGGTGGGCAGAGAGATACAGAGACCTCCACTCCTCTCCTACCACCCTGTTCCCCTGAGCCCAGGAAGGCGGCACCTGTGCCATCACCGGGCTAGGGGACACCTCCCTGCCCCTCTCTGTCTCAGGGCCTGGAATCTAAGGGTCATTGGTTCCCTAAAAATACTAATACTAATAAACAAATACATAACCTTATGATCTGAAGACGGTGGGAGGGTTTACGGAAAGTTTATTATTTTCCAGACGACAAAATGTCTACCAAGTAATAAACTCTGAAGGAGGCTTTCTTTCCCTTTCTTGTAATCTCCAAATCTTTTCATGAAAAAAGTCTAAAAACACGTTAGAAAACGACCTTAAGACGAAGACAACAATTCTAGTTAGCAGGCAGCAGTGGCGACCCCATTGCCCAGATGAGGATGCTAAGTGTTCAGATACTTAAAACCAAGTCACTTGCCCAAGGTCACGAACGGACGGAAGAGGTGATACCTGACCCCGCCATAAGTCCCGCAGTTCGGCGCTGACCCCAGCACCCCTACCCGCGGCTGGGTGCGGCCCGGGTTTACCTGCGCGGCCGAGCGCTGGGCGCGGAGGTCCTGGGAGCGCAGGTGCCACCGCGCGGTGTGGTACAGCCCCAGGACGCCCCCCAGGGCCAGCGCCGCCGCCCCCAGCAGCCGCGGGCTCCCCTTGCGGGCGGTGGCCGCGAGGCCCGGGCCCCCCGCCGCTCCCGCGAAGCCGGCCCGACGCTGCGCGGGGAGTCCCGAGGGCAGGCGACCGCCCAGCCTCCAGGCCAGAGCGTGCCCGACGGGCCACAGCGCCCGCGCAGCCTGGGCCATGTTCGCTCCGCCGGCGCCGCGGGCGGGCGCGCGAAACGAAGACGGCCGGGGAATCAGGCTCCCCTTAAAGGGGAGGGTCTCCATCTCCCGAGGGTTGCTAGGGGTGACAGTGACGCCGAGGGGTGAAAGGAACAGCCCTGGAGGGACTAGGCGTGCGTCCCGGGCGCCTGGTTTCCACGCACCCGTGAGAGCCACAGAAACACACTCTGGGATGTCTGGGAGTCGCTCTTTAAATGCCCGGCTTCTGAACATGAGCTATAACCGTTCTCGGTGGTGACCCGGGGCTGAATGCAGGAACTCGTCGTGTGGACTTTGGGTCCCAGCGTCGTCCGGAATGTGTGTTTATTAACTTCTTTCTCATGCAACCAATCGAAAGAGATGGAGCCCTTCAGAGCGTCAGAAAAAGGGTCATAGCATCGAGTCCAGGAGGGCCGCGGAAACAGCCGTACCACCCCTGGTGCCAGCGACTCGGGCTCTCTCTGCCCTCCCGCGCCGCTGCACTGTTTCTCCTGTGTCCCGAACCATAAAATTTTCCATACACACAAGGGGCCTTAGAGACCACGTGTCTCAGATTTCGCCCACGCGGTGGCGCCGGCACGCTGACCGAAAATGTCCCGCGGCAGGATGCGCAGAGTGGAGGTGCCAGGCTGTCCCGCCCCTCTGCCGGGCTTGCTCGCCGTAGCTGAGGACCCAGGCCTCCAACACCTAGGCTTCTCGGCGGGCAGCCCCGGATGGCCCCTCCCGGAGGCCGGGAAAGGAGCGGGGCTCGGGTAGTAGGCGGAGACTCAAAGACGGGTCAGGTTGTGGGCGGGGAGAGGCGGAGTCTGACGGCGGGGCGGGGACAAGAGCTGGGCTCGCGGGAGAGAGCGCGAGAGCTGACTGCGGTAGGGACCGAGCTCCGGGCGTGGTGGGCGGGACCTCGCGGGTGGGGGCGGGGCTTGCGTCCGGCGGACGCGGCGTGACCCGTTCGTGACCTCGGGCGAGTGACTTGGTTTTAAGTATCTGAACATCTGCCAAATACTTGGCAGAATTTTCCTTGGCGGTCCTCCTCGGTGCCACTCCGCTTGCCCCGCGTTCCGTGCGCCGCCTCCACCTTCCGCCCGGCGCTCGCTGTCAGTGCGACGGTCGCCGCGTTGCGTCGTCGCTCGGCCCTCGCGGCGCCCGCGCCCGCGGTGTCGGGCCCCAACGGGGACCTGGGCGTGCCGGTGGAATGCGAGCGCCGAAGGCGAGGACGACGGCTTCGGGGAAGCCGGTGACCCAGAAGGGCTGCTGAAGCGCCCTTTGCTTTCTTAGGGCTGCCCTCCTGGGAAGGGGAAGCGGGGCCGGGCTGGGGCCCTGAAGGGACCGCAGAGCCCTCCCACCCCTCGCCTCTGGGTGCGTTGCGGCTGCGGGCGCCGGCCGGGGTTTCAGGGCGAGCACCTGCGAGTGGGTCCCCTGGAAACCGCAGCATCCGAGAGCTGCGGGCAACCGGCCCCGTTTTACAGATGGGGAAACTGAGGCCGCTTCGAGATCACTCGCCCTTTTGGCATTTGCTGCAGCCACTTCCTGCAGCCCCTGTGGAGACGGGGGCTCCTGAGGGGGTGGGGCGGGTGGGTCGTCTCGTCTTAGCAGGAGGGGCTGTCTGGGTGGGCGAACCCTCCCTGCTGAGCCAGCATCTCCTGCCACCTTTGCTGGTGTGACCCGGAGCCTTGGCGAATGTGACCTCCTTACAGAGCAGCCTGTTGCCTGCCCAGCACTTCAGGGTGTGGGGGTAGGTGTCGAAGGGAGGGATGTGGAAAGAGAACCATCAGCTGTTTTTCACCTTTTCCAGCCTGTTTCCATATCTGTCAAATAAGAATAATGATTAGGGTCTCCTGCATTGAGATGTGTCAGGATTTGGGGGGAAATGAATGGGGAGAAGCAGGAGGCTGGAGAGACTTGTGCCCTAGAGACTCCTATTTTTTGCGCACCTGGCAACTACCCCACCTTTGCCAAACATAGAATGGAAAGCCAATGACCAGCACCTCCACCAAAATACTTGGCAGAATTTTCCGTTGGTCCAGATTAGGCAGGATATTAGGGCAGGCTCACTGCCCTTGTTCCCTACACTGCTTCTTTCCTCATTCATTACAGCCGGGGGCGGGGGCCGGTGCCTCCTGTTTCTGGCCAGCATTGAGCAAAGAGCCCTGCTTAATGCCCAGGGCACCTCAGCTTTTGGCTTTGATATTCCTTTTGTATCTTTGTTTCTATTTTCTTAATTTCTGCTCTTCCCCTTCTCATTCTGTTTTCTTTGCATTTATTCTATAGTTTCTTTTCTGCACTTTCACTCAGGACACTTTGCTCATGCCTTTACAGCCTTTCCCTATTCTAAAGCACACACTTAAGACTACTCGTGGGCCTTGTTTGTTGTGAGCCCAGCCAGATATTCAATGTGTGCTTCACTCTACATCTGGTTGTCTTGCAGAGGGAGCGCTCTTCAAAATGTCCAGGCTGCGGTTCAGCCAGGATTGCTTTTTTTTTTTTTTTAAGATTTTATTTATTTATTTGAGAGAGAGGGAGAGTGAGAGGGGGAAGCAGACTCCCCACTGAGCAGAGAGCCCGATGTGGGGCTGGATCCCAGGACTCTGAGACCATGACCTGAGCCACCCAGGTGCCCCACGAGGTTGCTTTGCTTTTCAAATAGATCCTGCTCAAAGTCCACTCAGGCTACAGGGAGACCACAGGAAGACCAGTCACCCCTCCTTGCCCACCTTTGTGGGGCAGTGGCCCCCCTCTCTGCTCCCCAGCGGGGGCTGAGCCAGCCAGCCCCTTGACTTTTCTTGGCAGTAGTCTGATTCTAGTCTATAATCTCCAAGGTTCAGAAGTCAGCCCTCCACCTTCCCTATGACTCTAAAATAGGCTTCCCTGGGCAGGAGCTGGAGGAAGCAGCTCCCTCCCATCTCTGCTCCTAGTGGGGATAATTCATAGATAGAAGGGGAGAGGCTCTGGTCAGGGAAGGAAAGGACCCCAAGGCCCTTGAATACTTGGCAAGACCCTCTGGGAGGCCTCTTTCCCACTCATGGCACAAGCCTCCCGCCCCCCCAACAGGGACCGCTTGGTGTGCACTTGGGAGCCTGTGGGGACCCTTAGCCATGCAAGAAGGGGAGCATCGTGAGGCAGGACAAAGAGGAGACACTAGGAGAAAGCCAAGGCTCCCACACTGCAGCCACAGCACCTTCCAGGGCACCCAGAAGCCCTGCCTGGGACAGAGCAGAGCTTTGATACCCCTCCCCTGGGGAGGCTAGGAGCTCTCTGAGCAGCCTGGCTGCAGCTGCCCACACAAGCCAAGCCACCCAGGACCCTGGGCCCCTCCTGAAATGAACCCACGTCCCTTTGTGAGCAGATCTGTGGTGTGGGGCACACAACAGGTGGAGCCCCGGGTGTGGGAAAAAAGGGTCTGTATGGATTGAGGGGACTATGGCAGACTGAAAAATGGCCCCCCAAAAGATACATGCATGTCCTAGTTCCTGGAACCTGTAACTACAACTTTATTGGGAAAAAGAGTTTTTGCGGGGCGCCTGGGTGGCTCAGTTGGTTAAGCGACTGCTTTCGGCTCAGGTCATGATCCTGGAGTCCCGGGATCGAGTCCCACATCGGGCTCCCTGCTCAGTGGGAAGCCTGCTTCTCCCTCTGACCCTCTTCCCTCTCGTGCTCTCTATCTCTCATTCTCTCTCTCTCAAATAAATAAATAAAATCTTAAAAAAAAAGTTTTTGCGGATGTGATTAAAGATTTTTTGTCTTTATTACTACTTTTTAAAAATGTCTTAATGGTTAATGTACTAATGTCTGATTTTCAAAGTGTGTAAATTAAATGTGTACGTTACTCTCTTCAAAAGCAGACAAAACAAGCTATTTTTTTCTTGGTATGGCCCAGATTTTTTTCCTTTCTTGAAGACTGACAGCGTTCTAATTCCTGATTCATAATCTGACATAGAGTGCATTCGGTTTTCAAATTTCTAAGAGAAGAAAATTATTCTCACAACTCACCAGTGTTTTAATAGTAGAAGGCAAATATTCACAACTAATGATTGGTCTTTCCCTTCGTTTTCTTCTTTTTTTTCTTTCTTTGCCTCTTGTTATTCCACCTTTTAAGTGCGTTGCGATTTCGACAGGAGGAGGGCATCCCAGATTCCCCGGGTGGGCCGTGCGTGTCATCACAAGTGTGCTCCTTAGGTGAGAGAGATCACACACAGAGAGAGGAGAAGGGAAGGGGAAGGCAGGTGTTGGAGCAGTGGGGCCACGAGCCAAGGAATGCCGGCAGCCACCAGAAGCTAGGAGAGAGGCGAGGAACAATGCCCTAGAACATCCGGAGGAAGTGTGGCCTTGCCCACACCTTGATTTTGACACAGTGAACTTCTGATTTTTTACTTTTGGCCTTCAGAATGTGTTAATTTAAGCCGAAAGTTTTGTGGTGATTTGTTGCTGTAATTTGATGATTTGGGAAATAATCAGCCTATCCAGAAGATGCTAAAAGTAGGAAATTCACTATTTGGAGAGGATGCTCTGGAAAGAAGGTCAAGGGTATGGCTGAGCAGGGGACCTAAGAACGTGGAGGAAGAGGTGGTCCAAGACAGGGGTCTCCAGGGGGGTGGGGAAGGGGGAGGTGGCCCAGGATGGGGAGACCCAGCAGTGTGGGGAGGTAGCTATCTCAGTCTGTAACAGAATACCACAGACTAGATGGCTTATACACAACAGAAATTTATTTCTCATGTGCACCATAGGGAATATAGTCCATGATATTGCACATGACAGAAGGTAGCTACACTTGTGGGGGCAAAGCATAACTAGAAGTTGAATCACTATGTTGTACACCAGAAACGCATGTAACATTGTGTGTCAACTGTACTCAAATTTATTTATTTTTTTTAAGATTTTATTTATTTGACAGAGAGAGAGAGAGAGCACAAGTAGGCAGGCAGGCAGGCAGAGGCAGAGGGAGAAGCAGGCCCCCCGCCGAGCAGGGAGCCCGACACGGGGCTCGATCCCAGGACCCCGGGACCACGACCCGAGCCGAAGGCAGACGCTTAACCGACTGAGCCACCCAGGCGCCCCCAACTGTACTCAAATTTAAAAGAAAATTTGTTTTAATTTATTTCTCACAGTTCTGGAGGCTGGGAAGTCCAAGGTCAAGGCACTGGCAGATTCAGTGTCTGGTGAGCGCCTGATTCCTGGTTCATAGGTGGCGGCCTTCTCACTGTCCTTACCTGGTGGAAAGGGTGAGGGAGGTCTCAGGTCTCTTATAAAGGCACTAATCCCATTCACGAGGGCTGCACCCTCATTATCTAATCACCTCCCAAAGGTCCCCCCTCCAAATACTACTGCACGAGGATCAGCTTTCAGCATAGGAATGGCGGGGGGGGGGGGCAGTAATGACACAAGCATTCAGTCCAAGACTCAGGGACGAATGTGTATAGGCAGAGAACAAGGAGCCATGGGACAGTCCAGTCCCGGCAGACTCGGCTGAGCAATTAGGGAGGGACACTTGCAGTTGCACTGACCTGGGGGGAGGCCAGTGCCCACCCAAAACCTGAAGGACCCTGGAGCCAGAGAGAGGCACCCAGACCTGTGCCCTGTATCCTCTGGCCTCTGCAGAGGGTTTGGTGCATGTTCTCCGCATTTCCTCCACCCCAGCACCAGCCTCCTGGCCCCTCACCCCACTCTCCACTGGTCCCAGTTGGCCCCTTCTCATGAAGCTGCACATGCTCTCCCTTTGGGGCCTGACCTTGTCCTTTGCCTGTCACACCTGTCTCATGACCCCCTCCCCCAGAGGGAAAGGCTCAGCCACAGACCCTACCCCATGTGAAATAAGCATGGAGTGTGAGGAGGAACCACTGTGACCCCAACCTTCCTCAAACTGGGATGAATGGGGAGGGGCAGAAAGGCTGGAGCCCTACCCCCTGAGCTCCCAGGAGGACCTCAAAGGAGCCTGAGTACCTCTCAGACATTTGTACTCTTTTCAGCCTTCCAGAACCCATTCCCCTGCCCCCCTGGGCTGGGCATTCTCCTGTTGGGTCCTGGGCTCTCGGGGTACAAAGGAGAATCTGCCTTTTGGGAGAGCCAGACTCTTCTCACAAAAACTACCTTGGATGGTGTCCTGCAGATGCCCAGCCAAGGGCCTGGCAGGCAGGAAGCATGGGGGTGGCCCAGGAGTGGCCAAGGTGGAGATGCTCTTTCCTGGGGTGCTTGGGGCTGCAGCCCAGGCAGGAAGGGTGCGGAGCTGGGAGGAGCCGGGTCTTGGCCAGCGCCAGGACCCTGCCAGGCAGAGGTACCTCCTGCCCAGCTCCACAGGAGCCCAGTGTCTACCCACCACCAGCCAGATAGATGCCTGGTGCCCACTGCAGGCCCTGCCCAGAGCAGTGGCCTCCAGTCCCCACTGTGGTCATCATGGACCCTCTAGCCTGCATGGGAGTCCAGGCCCCAGAGACAGAGGCAGGAGCACCCAGCTAGGAGGCATGCTTGGGCCAGGTACCTGAGGGCCAGACTGAGGAGGCAGCCCTGGGCCCAGACCTCATATGGCAGGGCCTGCGGGCCCCTGCCCAGTGGGCCCAAAGGACCTTTGCATAGGGAGGAACCCAGTGGGTGTTTTGTGGGAGGTGTAGGGAGGGGCTGCCTTTCAGAGCTGTTCCATAGCCAGGGTCCCTGCCAGGTGGAAGGGACAGGAGCCAGGAGATCCTTGAGGCTCCCTGGTGAGCCCTCGCATGACAAATGGGGCCTGGGGGTTGGAAAGCTGCTCTGGAAACTAGAAACTCAAGCCAAGGCTCTGGAGGAGCAGGCCTTCCCCCTCCAGGGTGTTTGGACCCGCAGTGGCTAAGGAGGGCTCATCTCTGGACACTAAGAGTTGCTGCAGCTGTGACTGGTCTCCTGGGGGCATCTCCCCAGCACTCAGGGGGACCATGGTGTGGACCTTCTGTCTGGACTCTGGCCAACTCCAAGGGCTCCAGGGTAGACAGGACCCTGAAGGCCACATTGCTCACTCATGTGAGTCCACAACACATCACACAGAAGCCTTGGGGCCAAGTCCCTCCTGGGAGAAGCCAGGTCTGGGCCTTCCAAGTCCTGCTCTGGGTCTCTGGAGCAATGGCGGAAACTGAAAAGGCACCCACACCTGTGTTTCTCTGTGGCAAGAAGCCAGGAGAACTCCCCCGTGGTCCCTGAGTGCTGAAACTCAGCTTGCATGAAGTGGGTGTACATCTTGACCTTACCCTCCCCCCACAGCCCTGCAGAACTCCTCCCTTCCTAAGGCCCAATGCAGCGGGCACACCCAGCTGGTCCCCTCCCCTCCAGCTCCAACCAGCCCAGCACCCACATCTTGTTGGCTAGGATTGGCCACAGCTTGGCCTGATCTCTGCAGTACCCATGGCCATGACCATCCTTGGGTCCCCACAAAGTATGGCTGGGACACAGCACGCTGCTTAGCCTCAAATCCGTGGACAGACCTTGTCCCCTTCACTCTGACCCCTCCCTCGGCTCCTGGGCTGGGCCAGCAGAGGGGCGAGGCAGCTAGGTAAGGAAGGGGCAGTGAGGTGGTCATCACCAGCTGTCAGCTGAAGGTTAAGCCCACACAAAGATAAGAACAGACAGATAAGGCCAGTGGGCCCAAAACAGGCCTGCAGCCAGCACCACAAGAAGACTGGGTTTGCTCAGAAACTCCGAGATGGCCTCAGGTAGAGACGCCGCCCCATGTGTGTGCTGGCCTCTGTTAAACAACACAAATTCAGCTGAGTAATTTAAAACATCAAATTGGATTTATTGAACGAGTCATGAATCAGGCAGCATCCCATCTAGCAAATAGAAGGGAGCTTTGTGGAGCTGCAGAAAAGGAAAGGTTTTAAAAGGTGGAGAAGGAACAGATAAAAGGAAACTTATCAAAGAGTCCATTGTTTTAGGCAAGGTCAACCTCCTAAGGGAAATGGAAGGGGTCTCTCCAGAAATTTCATGGTGCTGACCCGGAAATTCCATGTGTGCTGGTCAAAGGTTACATTGGGGGGGGGCGCGGGGGGGCCGAAACTGCAACTGGGGTAGGCGTTAGGTCTTGGCTTGCCAACATAGGGACCTTAACATAAGTGAATCCCTTTTGGGCCTGTGGTTTTCTTTTCAACACCTCCCAGCATCTGCAACGCAGCTGTCTTTACAGAAGGGAAAACTGGCAGGGGTGGGGTAGGGTGGGCAGGGGTGGGCTGCACCTCAGGGGTCAGGATCCTACCAAGGGCCCCTGAACCAGGCCTTCTCCCTTCTTGCAGCTGGCCCTGGTTTTCTCAGGCTGCAGACCTGGCCCTAATCCCTCCCCACTCCATACCCTGGTGAGCAGGCGTTGGGGGATTCATACCAAAGGAGCATTGGCCACTCTACCTCATGACTGTTCAAGTCTAGAATATTCCGTCCAGTGACAGGTACCGCCTCTCCCTAGTTAGGGACACTGCTCCCTCCCTACTGGGGCTCCACCTGTCAGTCACCCTCCTATCCAGCAGTCACTGCAAACTCAAAGATACCTTTTAAGGTCAGAGAGGGAAGCAGAGGTGGAGCTCCTGGGGCTGTGAGTGGGAATGAGAGGGGTGAGAAGTAGCCACTGGTGCCTTCAGAGGGCACGTGGGCTTTGGTGGCAACTTCATTCCTCCAAAGCTTTGCTCATCCTCACTTCCTGCTCTTTCATCACCCTGACAGGCCTGAGAGGGCAGGGGTCCTCTGGGGGCCTTTCTGGCATCAGGGAGGTAGAGGCTGCCCCCACCCCCCATCTCAGGACCCCCAGAGTCCCTTCCCTCAGGACCTACCACCCAAAGCCCAGACTAGGGGAGCTGGTTCCCCTGTAGCAAGTAGAAGAGCCAATGAGGCCCCAGAAGTCATCTGAGGCCAGTGAGCCCTCAGTTCTGCCTCAGGTCAGGCGGCTCTCCTGGGGACTTCTAGGAGACACTGCCCAGGGGCTGGGACCCTTCACTGCCTCCCGTGGACAACTAGGCTCCCATGAGGAAACCGCTTCCCTCCAGGACAAAGCTGGGATCAGCCGTGACAGAAACACATCTGGGGGCCCAGGTCTAGGCTGCTGGGCTCCACAGCCCAAGACTGTGGCCAGAGACAGCAGATGGTGTCAATACTCCCTCAAGGGTGAGGCCGAGTTATTGCACTCACTGTGACCCAAAGTACCTGATGTCCAGAGCAGCAGGGTAGAGAGCCCCTGCTTTGGGTCCCAGCCCCCCAGCCTGCTTCACCCAGTGCATGGGGTATGTCCTTCATTGTCTTCAGACCAGGATGGAGCTGGGACTGCGTACTCAGAGCTCTGATTTGTCAAGCTGTCTCATTTGTGGCTGGCAGGCCCAGCTTGAGGTCTCTGTCCACGGGGCCCACAGGAGGGGCCAAGTCCCTTAGGGGTCAGCTGAGGTCTGGGTCCACCCCTGCCAGTAGGGTGTGGAGGAGGGGAGGAACATTGCCCATAGGCCTTCACTGGGGGAAAGGTATCTCACCCTGGGCCAGGTCCTGGTGTGGGGTCCCTGGGCGGGGGCCAGGACCTGGTGTGGGGTCCCTGGGTGGAGGCCAGGATCTAGGCTCCATGAGCACAGGGCACATACTCTGTCCTTCCCTGCCAGGAAGGTCCACTTTCAGCTGCCTTCCTTTTCCTGGAGGGGACCAGGAAGTAGTGATGAGGTTTTGGAATAGAGGTGAGGTTCGGTGGGGTGAGGTCCGGAGCCAACGACCAAGAAAGAATTCTTTTTTTTTTTTTTTTTTTTAAGATTTTATTGATTTATTTGACAGAGAGAGACACAGCGAGAGAGGGAACACAAGCAGGGGGAGCGGGAGAGGGAGAAGCAGGCTTCCCGCTGAACAGGGAGCCCAACGCAGAGCTGGATCCCAGGACTCCGGGATCATGACCTGAGCTGAAGGCAGACACTTAACGACTGAGCCACTCAGGCATCCCTGTTTGTTTGTTTGTTTGTTTTTAAAGATTTTATTTATTTATTTATTTGACATAGAGTGAGAGAGAGACCAGACGGGGAGTGCGCAGAGGCAGAGGGAGAAGCAGGCTCTGGCTGAGCAGGGAGCCCGATGCGGGGCTCTCTCCTAGGACCCTGGGATCATGACCTGAGCCGAAGGCAGACGCTTAACTGACTGAGCCACCCAGGCGCCCCGGTTATACGGACATTTAATTGTATCTACATTTCCTTCTGGAAGCTAGATTATTGATAGAAATGCTTCGTTCTTGTAGATTGCTAAGACATTTGTAAACTGAGGGAAACTTATGTCTTAGAGCAGAATTGTGATCTCTAGAAATTAACTATTTGTTTTTCCTTTCCTTAGCTTTAGGGCAGCCAGGAGTGCCTGAGGAATGTCACATATATCCCATGGGTGGGGGGGTTGTGGGGTGTCAGCTTCTGCTTTGTCCTCAGCTTGCCTTCTGTTCCCTCATCAGTAGCCCATACTCTGTTGGTGCGAAGCATTGTCTGCCTTCATCAGGTGTGGGAAAGGGGCCTCTCTGCATTTACCCCACCCTGGGCTTGGGCTGAGCAGAGTCTCCTAGAGGTCAGGGATGACAACTTGGCCAGACTGGAGACGATGGACCACACACAAAGGAGTCCTTGTCCCTGCCAGAGATGTGGAGCTCTGGGGAATGCCCCCTCCCCCTCCCCTGGCCTTCCTGCCCCTCATCTTGCATAATCCTGACCTGGGGGAAAGGGACCAAGAGCTTGCCAAATGTTTCAGCCTGAGTTGCTGGCAATTGCCCCACTCTTCCTGGATTTGGCAAAGGATAAATTCGCTCCACCCTGAGTGAGCCATTGGCCAGGGGACCATAAATAGGGCCCCCCAAGGGCAGCTTTCTCACTAGCTTCTCTTCAGCTGCCATCTGGCATGCCAGTTTTCCTAAGCCCTGAAGTCATGGCCCGAGGTCTCCTGTGGCTGGGCCTTGTCCTGCTGGGGTCCCTGCAGGCTCAGGCCCAGGACTCTGCCCCAAAGTTGATCCCAGCCCCACTTCTGATCAAGATCCCCCTGCAGCCTGACTTCCAGGATGACCAGGTAAGGGGCCTGGAGGGGCAGAGTGTGAAGAGAGGATGGGAGAGACAGAGTCTTAGGGAGAGTGTCAGGGCAGGATGGGCTCAGGCTTCAGCTCAGCCTGCCCCCGGGTCCCCTGATGGAAGGCACACCCCATGCCCCCATCTCCACCCCAACTTTGCTGCCAAGAGGGTCACTTGAGCAGAACTTCCCAGGTCCACAATCCCTTCCATAAGGAAGTGGGGACAGTCCCTGCAAGGTGGGAACATCTTCAGGCCTCCTACATGATGAGGAAACAGGATCAGGGACTTCAGCTGGCCACTTGCCGAGGGTCATCCTGCCCCTACCGGACTCGGGGCTCTCTCCTGACCTGGTGGCCGGCTCCTGTGGCTGCATCAGCGCAGGCCTGTGTGGCCAGTCGGGGTCCCTGCTGCCCAGTTAGGGGAGCTCCTGGTTCCTGGTCAGGCTGCCTGGAGGTACCTGCAGGGACGGAGCAGTAGGGGCCCCCAGGGGCCGTTCCTGGGCTCCGCCTATCATCGGCCCCCCACTGTAGTTCCAGGGAAAATGGTACGTCATAGGCGTAGCAGGGAATTCAATTAATACAGAAAAACGAGCCCGGTTGAAGATGTACACCACCACCTACAAGCTGAAAGACAACCACAGCTACGAGGTCACCTCCACCCTGATCAGGTGAGGGCCACCACCTCCTGGAGGCGCGGGCAGAGGGGGTCCGAGCGGGGGCGCCATCCTGGGGGTCTGAGAGGCAGACTGATGTCAAAACCGAGGGGTGACTGAAGCTGAGGTGGACATTCATCCTTTTGCTGGGTACCGGAGCCCCCGGCATTTATCCCTTCCTTCGCTCACTAGCTCAACATTTATCGGTGCCTTCAGTGCAGACACACAGACAGTACTGGGGATGGACACAGACTGTCCTAGGGAAACGAGACGGAGAGAGCAGGGGTGTGCTAGAGTGGGAGGAGGGTCACCGGATCCAGCCTGGAATCCCACCCAAGGCTTCGTCAAGGGCTTCCAGAGAGGTGGTCTCTAGGCTGGGCCTTGAGGGGGGAGCCAACTCTTTCAGGAAACCATCACATGGCTGCCCTGAGCAGGGGCTGATGAACAGCCCAGAGGGGGGCAGTGGCCACAGGGGCAGGGTCCTCAGACACCAGTACCAAAGGGATCTGGTGACGAGCGGGTCTGGCTGCAGCAGGGAGAGGAATGAGGGAGGCTGGTCAGTCCCAGGTGGGAGATGACCACGGGGCGGGGGGCAGATGAGGACCTAGAGAGGAGAGCCAAGGATTACCCAGCTCCTATGGGTCTCTGACTCTGTCACTTGGGGGATGAGGCTAGAGCATTTGTGGTGCAAGGAACAGAAGAAGGGCAGGTTTGGGGAGATCAGATAGGATGCACGTGAGAAGTCAGGGTTGGCCCAAGAGCTAAGGGAGTCCCTGGCATCGAGCAGACTGGAGCCTTGGAGGGTGAACCCCCTAGGAGAGGTTACAGCAGGAAGCCACAAGATAAGAGTAGGGGACAAATCCCTGGGGGGGACCCCAAAGAGGGAAGGACAGTAAGGTGCTGGAAGGAGAGTCAGGTGGCTCAGAACAGAGCAGGCAGGGACAGGCAGGGATGGGTTCAAGGGGAAGAGCCAGACCCATCGGAGCAGGGTGGGCTGTGGGCCTCCTGTGGCAGGATGGGCTGTCACCTTTTTAAAAAAAATATTTTATTTTTTATAATTAATTATATATAAATATATATATATAAATATAATTAATATTTTAAATTTTAAATTATATTAAAAATATTAGAGAGAGAGAGAGAGAGAGAGAGAGAGTGTGTGTGTGTGTGTGTGTGTGTGTGTGTGCACACACGCCCAAGCCGGGGCAGGGGCAGAGGGAGAGGGAGAGAGAATCTCAAGCCGACCGTGCTGAGCACACAGCCTGACTTGGGGGCTCGATCCCAGGACCCTGAGATCAGGACCTGAGCCAAAATCAAGAGTCAGACACTTAACCGACTGAGCCACCCGGGTGCCACTGGACAGTTACTCTCTTACCCACCCATCTCTTGCTTCCACAGGAACCAGCGCTGCGACCACTGGATCAGAACTTTTGTCCCAAGTTCCCTGCCTGGCCAGTTCACCCTGGGCAACATTAAGCGTGAGTCCTGAGTGGGGCGGGTCTCCAGGGGGCATAGATGCCATCCTGTGGGGGCCGGGGAGGAAAAACCTGTTTCCCACACCGGGTCAGGGCGGGCTGGCCCCTCACCGACCACCCTGCAGGTTACCTCGGAGTGCAGAACTACACCGTGCGGGTGATGACCACCGACTACAACCAGTTTGCCATGGTGTTCTTCAAGAAATTTTACAAAAACCAGGAGTACTTCAAGATCACCCTCTATGGTGGGTCCTCACCTACTGCCTCTGGGACCCGGCTCCTGCTCAGGCTGGGGGAAAAGAGGCCCATCCCACCCAGCCCCCAAGGTCCCCTTTACTCTGAGCCCCTGGCAGGTGGGTGAGGGGTCTTCCCGCCCGTCCGTCCCCACCCCCACCCCCGTCATGTGGAAGGGCTCTGAGGCCTCGTTCCCATGTTCAACAATATTTATGGAGCATTCACCTGCCCACTCACTGGCCATCTTGACCATAGGGAGGACCAAGCAGCTGCCCATTGCTCTGAAGGAATACTTCACCGGCTTTGCCAAATCCCTGGGCCTCACCGATGATTACATCATCTTCCCTGTCCCCACTGGTAACTGCCAGCGACGGAGAGAAGAAGGGGACATGGGGACTGTCCAGGCCTGTTGTTGCCTCACGAGGGAAAGGGGGAGAGGGGAGACTCAGGCCCCTACTGCAGTCACTGGAGCCCCTGGGAGCCACTTTGGGTTCAAGAAGACCCTTACTCACCCAGAGGTCTGCGGGGCACCCAGCAATGTGGGGGCCCCAAGGATTCCTCCCTGACAGAGAGCCCGGGTCCGAGTTTCCCATGTAGTCGCCTGGCCATGTTCCCCTCTACCCAGGTCTGCTTGTCCTGGGCTAGCACCCACTTTGCCCTGGGGCTTGCTCGCCACTGACTTGGGAGGTGCTCAGGTGGCCTGGCCTGGGCAGGTTACCTCCCCAAGCCTGCCGGGGCTGTCAGGACTCAGCAGGGAGACAGGCAGAAGGCCTGGTGCCCAAGCAGGCATGTGGCTGGGCCTCATCTGCCTCCTTTGGAGAATGGGTGTCACCCAGCTCTGCTTGTCCTCTGGCTTCTCCCCCTGTCCCCTGCCCCCATCACCCACCCCTCTGCTGCACCATCCCTGAAGGGAACCCCCAGATCTTCTGCGGCTGGGCCAGGCTGGGGCCCAGGGCAGCCCAGGGGCAGCACAGGGGCCCTGGAGGTCAGGGATCCCCCCCCAACACTCCTGCCCACGCTGACCACTCTGTCCCCCACAGACCAGTGCATCGATGATAAGTGAACGAGCACGCAGTGAGTATGGCCCAGGAAGGGGCTGATGGGAGCTACAGGGCAGTGGGAGGGGGTCCCGGGCCTGCCTTTGTCCCCCCCTGCCCAGCACTGCCGCCATCTTTATTCCTCTGACTCTCTTTTAGGTGTCCCCTGTCTCTCTTCACCCCATCACCCTCACGCTGACCTCTGCCCAGGGCACCGCCCGGCTGTTCCACCAACCTGGACACCAGGAGAGAGCCCGGAGATCCTTCTCACCACACAGCCCACCAGCTGCTTCCCAGGTCGCCCTTCTGATGGAACCCCTCCTTGCTTGCTAAATAAACACATGCCCCCAGGTCTTGAGTCTCTGCTCCTTGACCCCTGGGCCCTCAGAGGGAGAAGAGCAAAGGGCGGGCTCCTATTAGCATCACTCCCAGGGACGTGGCCCCCAGAGAGGGATGGAGGCTGCAGAAGCAGAGTCCAGCTCTGACTGAACACTTGTGGCTCCCAACTCCAGGCCCAGCCCCAGATCAGCAGCAGCCCTCACCGGCCCCCACCTCCTAGCACACTGATGGGGCACACTGACACCCACGTTCTGCCACCTGCAGCAGGGCCAGGGAGCTGGAGGGGCTTGGGGGGCTGAGGTACTGTCATCCACACTTCACCAGGACCCTGTAGATCCTGGAAGACTGTAGCCAGGGCAAGAGGGGTGCACAGTGGGTGGAACAGAAGCATGCCTAGCTTGAGGCTGTGCCAGGCACAGAGGGCCACCGGAGGTGGTCCCCTTTCTCTCTGCCAGCCCCCTATGGGCCCACTGGTGGGTGGCAGTGTCCACATAGACCCCATTCCAAGTACTGTCCCTCACCCACATCTCTCCTCTGTGATGACCTCTGGATCATCGTGGGGGCAGGGCCAGGGGAGGCAAAGAGGAGAATACACTGCCAGGAATCCAGATTCCAGAAGACTTGAGGGCTCCAGGCCTATACCCACTGCTTGGCTGGGCCTGTGTGTGGGGCCTGACCAGCCCCTGTCCACCCCTCTGTGTCTGCATCACACACCTTGAACTGCATCACACAACATTGCACACTTGAACTCCCTTCCTGGCCTCTTCTCCCCTTGCAAGGTCAGAGGCCAGAGGGGGCGAGGTTCTGAAGAAACCCAGGCTTATCCACCCCAGAGACTTGCACACTTACCCTCAGCTGGTGGGGGGGGTTGGGAGAGAGTGGGATAGTGGGAAGATACTGGAGCTCTGAGTAGTCCCTAGCCTCAGCCCTGAGGGGGCAGGACAGGCCCGAGACCCAGGGCCACCAGATAGGCTGCAGCCTTAGGAGTCTGGGTCAGGGGGCGCCTGGGTGGCTCAGTTGGTTAATGGGCTGCCTTCGACTCAGATCATGATCCCAGATTCCCGGGATGAGCCCCGCATAGAGCCCTGCACAGAGCCCTGCATAGAGCCCCGCATCTGGGCTCTTTGCTCAGCGGGGAGTCTGCTTTTCCCCTTCCCTCTGTGTTCAATCTCCCTCTCAAAAAAAAAAAAAAAAAAAAAAAAAAAAGTGGTCTGGGTCAGGTTCCAGGAGGAGACCAGCTTGCTGCAGCGTGGGCTAAGAAGGATGGAGGCTCTGCCCAAGGCCAGAAAGACCCACACTGAGAAGGGCACCACGAGCTGGCCGAGGGGGTGGGAAGCTGCACCCAGCATGCCTGGTGCTTGGGCTCCACCTCGGACAACAGAGACAGTTTCTCTGCTTTGGCCCAAGCCATGCAGCTCCCTGGCATCACCTGGGCCTACCGGCTCTTCAGGAGCAAACTCTTAGGCCACAAACAGGCTTTGTGTTTCTTCCCAGGGTCACTGGGTTTTATTAGTTTCCTATTGCTGCTATAATAAATTATCACACACTGGCATCTTAAGCCAATACACATTTATTCTTTTATAGTTCTGAAGGGCAAAATTCTGAAATCACTTTTACTAGCTAAAATCACTTTTCGGCACCTGGGTGGCTCAGTCAGTTGAGCGTCTGCCTTGGCTCTGGTCATGGTCCCAGGGCCTGGGATCGAGTCCCGCGTAGGGCTCCCTGCTCAGTGGGGAGGCTGCTTCTCCCTCTGTCTGCCTCTCCCCCCTGCTTGTGTGCACTCTCTCTCTTTCTCTGGCAAATAAATAAATAAAATCTTTAAAAGTAAAATAAAATCACTTTCACCAGCTAAAATCAAAGTGTCAGCATGGCTGTGCTTCCTCCAGAGGCTCTTGGGGAGAATCCCCATCTTCGCCTTGGGGTTTTTTCTTCCTTCTTCAAAGAGAGCAGTGTGGCATCTCTACATCTCTCTCCTCTGCCGAGGTCCTCACATGGCTTCCTCTCTTGTTTGTCAAATTCCCCCTTGACCTCCCTCTTTATAGGGACACTTATGATTACATTTAGGGCCCACCTGGATAATCCAAGGTAATCTCCCCATCTCAAAATACTTCCTGTAATCACATCTGCTCAGGCCCTTTTTCCAAGTAAGGTACTGTTCTTAGGTTCCAAGGATGAGGATCCAGATATCTTTGGGGGCAGACCACTACACTGGGTTCGGAGAAGGAATCAGGGCAGAGCTAATGAGATGGGGAGAGAGAGGGGCACAAGGACTCCAGAGGCAGGGAAGCACTAAGGCATATTCCCTTCCCCCTGTCAGGGCTGGATGGAGTAGGTGGCTGTTTTGTCCTGTGGTCTGGTTTATGGGCCCGGACCACTGGAGTGAGGTGGGCAGAGGCAGAGGCCCTCTCTGGGACCACAGCATTTCACCAACGAGGAGCGTGCCTGGGGGCAGCTGCAGGCTCCACCCACGAGCATTTGCATCCACCTGCTGCGTCCCTGTGGTATGTGGATCTGTGCATGCCTAGGCTTGTTTCTGAGAACCTACGTGACTTTCTGAGGGTTTGTTTGCCCCTCCCCCTGTGCCCTGGAGTCTGCACGTTTCTCCTCTGGTCTAGACATAGTCAGATCCTATTGATCTCATGCGTGATTTCACATTTAAGAGAAAAACATGTGTCTGTGTTTTTGTTTGGGTGTCTCGTGCTTAAAGGGATTTGGATTATGTCAGCACATCCACAAAGGTGACCTGTGTTTCTGCCGTGTCTCCGCAGATCTGTGTGCCACACTTGGGTACGGGTGTTTCTATGCCAGTCAGGGCTCCCGGGGCTTTGCTTTCTTGGTTGGTGAAATGCTGCGCTCCTATGGAGGACCTCTAACCCGTCAGCCGAAGGTGGATGCACAGGCCTCTTTCTTTCTCAGCCCTGCTCACTGGTTCAATGCAGGCCTCACCTCCATTCCACCTGATTCAGGGAGGAGAAGGCAGGGCTGCCAATATGCAAGTCAGTAGTGCTCCGATTGCAGGCTGCGGACTCCACCTTCCTCAGGTGAGATGGTGGGATAGTTTTGGGGACACAGACGATCCCTCCCCATTGTCATCATTTGGGGCATACCCGGGTTCACCATTGCTGGCTCGGCCCCCCAGGGCCGTGTCACAGTAGAATGCAGCGACCATGGCGGAAGGTGGGGGCACCCGATGGAACGCCGGCCTGTTTGGGACATACCAGGTCTGACCCCGATCCCAAGGATGTCCTGCCCACAGGACGCACCCGTGTGAGACCAGCACGGGGCTGCTGCAGCCATGGGGCTCCCTGGCAGCTACAGCTACGGGACTCCCAGGGAGTGAGCCTAACTCAGCCGGACTCCTGGCCAGGATGATACTTCCGGGTCCAGCTCAGGAGCGACAGTGTCTTGGCGGGTGACTTTGGGCAAGCCTCCCTTTCTCAGCTGGTAAAGGGGGTGGGGGATGATGGCAGCTGGGCCAACCTAATCCTGAAGCCACACGCAGCACTGTGCCACACAGACCGTGACTCTCACTGAGGCTGTGAACCTAAATCTTCCGAAGCCATAGGGAGCCTTAGAGAAAACGCGTTTCAGATTTCGCCCACGCGGAGGCGCCGGCTCGCCGACCCGCAGGTCCCCGGCGGCAGGACGGGCGGAGTGGAGGCGCCAGGCAGCCCCCGTCCCTCTGCGGGGCTCGCGAGTCCCGGCTGAGGGCCCAGGCCTCCACCACCTGGGCTTCTGGACTGCCAGCCGCGGATGACCCCGCCCAGCGGCCGAGAGGGGGCGGGGCTAGGGGCGGGGCGCGACTGTGAGGCGGGGAGTGGGCGGGACTCGGGCCGTGGGGGCGGAGTCTGACGGCGGGCGGGGACGGAGCCCTGGCGGTGGGGCGGGGAGGGGGCGGAGCTCGCGCCGCGAGGTTCCGGCCTTGGGGGCGAGGCCCCGGCCGCCCTGCCGCGTTCTGCCGCGGCGTCCCACTCTTCCGGCTTCGAGTTCCATCCGGCGTCTCCACCTTCCGCCCAGCGCAGGCTGTGGGCGGGAGGGTAGCTGGGTTCTACCGTCGCGCGGCCCTTGCGGCGCCCGAGCCCGCAATGTCGGGCCCCAACGGGGACCTGGGCGTGCCGGTGGAGACGGGCGCGGAAGGCGAGGACGACGGCTTCGCGGAAGCAGGTGACCCAGAGGGGCTGCTGAAGCGCCCTTTGCTTTCTTAGGGCTGCCCTCCTGGGAAGGGGAAGCGGGGCCGGGCTGGGGGCTTGGAAGGGACCGCAGAGCCCTCCCACCCCTCGCCTCTGGGTGCGTTGCGGCTGCGGGCGCCGGCCGGGGTTTCAGGGCGAGCACCTGCGAGTGGGTCCCCTGGAAACCGCAGCATCCGAGGGCTGCGGGCAACCGGCCCCGTTTTACAGATGGGGAAACTGAGGCCGCTTCGAGATCACTCGCCCTTTTGGCATTTGCTGCAGCCACTTCCTGCAGCCCCTGTGGAGACGGGGGCTCCTGAGGGGGTGGGGCGGGTGGGTCGTCTCGGCTTAGCAGGAGGGGCTGTCTGGGTGGGCGAACCCGCCCTGCTGAGTCAGCATCTCCTGCCACCTTTGCTGGTGTGACCCGGAGCCTCGGCGAATGTGACCTCCTTACAGAGCAGCCTGTTGCCTGCACAACACTGCGGGGAGTTGGGGGTGGAGAGAGAACCGTCAGCTCCCCTCACCTTGGGGAGCCTTAGTTTCCGTATCTAAAATAAGAATAATGATTAGTGTCTCCTGCATTGAGATGTGTCAGGGTTAAATGAAGAAAAAACAAATGGAAAATATTTAATAGGTTCAAAGCATGCAGGTGTTCGGTGAGTGGTTATTTTTCCCTTTAGTGTAATAAAGATTGATTTCTCAAGTTGGAGGGCAGGACTTAGTAAATGTGAGGTAAGTATGGAGTCTGCTTTTTGTTTTGTTTGGGTAACAGCTTTATTGAGCTATAATTCACATACCATACAATGTATCCATTTAAATTGTACATGTCAGTGGGTTTTAGGATATTCAGAGTTGTGCATCCCTCACAGTAGTTTCAGAACACTTCGATCACCCCGGGTCTGCATTTAATAAAGAGGTAGAGGACCTCCCACAGGGTGGTAAGTGGTAGGCTGGCCAGTTTGCCCTGGGCACTGCAAGTGAACAGTAGCCAGATGTGTATAAGGAAGCCTGCAGTAGCAGGGAGAGCAATCAGGAAAAGCCACTCAGGTGTCACACTGAGTGGATGTTGGCAGATTCACAGGACTTAGTGCAGTGGGGAGGTGGCTGTCCCAGGCAGAAGGCAGAGGCTTAGCACTGGGAAGTGCCCTTGACACAGATCAAGCCTGGCCCCCAGTGGTGTGGAGATACCACCTGCCTCCCCCATCCTGCTTCGGGCCTGTGTCTTGTGACACAGAATGTGCAGTGTTGATAATAATGACCGTCTACTAAGTACTTGCTGTGGCCAGACCCTGTCTGAGTTTTTAATATATTGGAATCCTCACAACAACCCGGTCCTTATTCCCTTACCAAAAGACGCAGTCACGTGCTGGGGTGGAGCGGAGCTGGGACTGACACCCAAGTGCCCCTGCTCCCTCTGAATCTTGGCTGTGCCACCAACCAGCTGGAGGATCCTGGGTAGGTCCCTTCCTTCTTGGGCTTGTTTTCCCATCGGTACCACAAGGGGGTTGGACTCTAAGATCCAGCAGGGACTTTCCAGGACTCTGTCCTCTGTGAGCTGTGCCAGCTCTGGCCGATGGTGCTCTTCCCCCAGAATGCAGACACACTTGCACCCAGATCCCAGACACACTCCTCCAGCCCTGGCCTTTTCCAAACACTGTCAGCCACTTCCCCTTTTGTCCCAGGCTGGCAGCTGAGTGAGATTATCTGAGTCATGGGCTGGCTCAGAACTGGGTCCGCAGTGGGCACAGGCCCAGACCTTGGATCCTAAGGGATACTGTGCTGCTGAGAGGCAGGTCAGGAGTGGCCATGGAGGAGGGAGTGATGGTTTCTGGTGGAGACCAGGGAAGGCTTCTTAGAAGAGGAGGCGTTTTGAGCTGGTCCTTGAATAACTCTTGTGGTTGAGGCATTCTGAGTGGCAGAGACAAGTGAGTAAAGGCAGAAAGGCCAGAAAGTCAGACGCTTCATTCAGTCATCCATCCATCCATCCATTCATTCAGCTAGTGCTTACTGTGTGACAATGAGGGCACCAGGGAGACAGCAGTGAACACAAGAACATTCCCTGTCTCATGAGCTCTATAGTCTGGTGTGGTAAGGACCGTGGAGGTGTGTGGAAGGCAAGGATCGGGAAAGCTCCCTGTAGCAACATCCATGCTGAGCCTTGAAGGATGACAGGGATTCATCCAGGAGAGGAGGAGGGAAGACAGAGGAGGACGCATTGCAGGCAAAGGCAGCAGCGTGTTCAGGGGGCCCGAGGTGGGTAGAGGCGGGTGAGGCGGGGCTAGAGAGGGGGCAGGGCCTTGGGAGTCTGGGCTGTGCTTTTCCCTTCCGGCAGGGGGAGCCTCAGAAGGGCTGGAGAGTAGGGCCTGCCTGGGGACAGAGGCCTTGATTGCCTGACTCAGGAAGGGGGGCTCTGGCCTCCGGGCAGCTGATAAAGGAAGTGGAAAGGAGCCTTGGCACTGGGCAGGACACGGTCTGGCTGACCTCCCCCTGACGACCTTAACCCTAGAAAAAAGGATGGTGCACTACTAAGGTATTATTTCTCCAAAGCCTTTCACTTTTGGTATCCACCCATTTTCCAGATGGTGACACAAAGGGTCAGCAAGGAGTAGGGACTTGCCCAAAGCCCTTTTGTCCTGCAGGCTGGGGGGCTGTGTGGGGGAAGGTGTCCGAACCCTGAGGAGACCTGGAACCTTGGCTCTCTTTTCCCTTCCTCCCAGAATATGCTGCCATCAACTCCATGTTGGACCAGATCAACTCCTGTCTAGACCACCTAGAGGAGAAGAACGACTACCTCCATGCCCGCCTCCAGGAGCTGCTTGAGTCCAACCGGCAGACACGCCTTGAGTTCCAGCAGCAGCTTGGGGAGGCCCCTAGTGATGCCAGTCCCTAGGTTCTGGGAGCCCCCAACCAGCCCAAACCCTGCCTCCCTGGGCTAGGCTCTGGCCTGGGCACTCACCACCTGGCTTAGATACCTTCTCAAGGGCTGGCCTACAGGTCCCCTGGTGAGTCGGCCTGCCTCAGTCACCCTTCCGGTACTCCCCTTGGCATGCCTGGGCCAGCCCCCACCACCCAACATCCCCTCCTGGGGTCAGGTGTGGGCCCACGACCCACCCACTTAGCCTGCTTGCCCAGTTCCGGGGCACTCCCCACTCTGCCCAGGCCTTGAGCGTCCATATTAAACGGGTCTCCAACAGCACTGTGCCTCTCCTCTGTACCCTGGGTGAGGACTCCACTGGCCCTCACAGGTAAACAGGGCAGTGGAGGCATTCCAGGCACTGATCGTGCGCTGGTGACTCACAGGCCTGCTGGTAGGGCAGGGGTTCTTGGCCTTGTATTTCTGGATACACAGGGAGCCGGTGGGGCAGGGCTTCCTCCCTACCTGGTGCCCTCCTGGACAGCAGCAGATTCCCCAGCCCAGCTGAGAGCATGGGACGTGCTGGGTGACCCTGTGGATTCACTCAGCTTCTCTGGGTCCTAGGGTCTTTCTCTACGACAGCCAACTCCTGTTCAGGCTGTATAACCTCGCTCCAGGCCTCAGTCTTCCCAGCTAGCCAGTCACAGGGTTGGTCTCCCTCTAAGGGTTTTTTCAAATGAGGAAATAGCAGAACTAAAGAACCAACTCCTCCTGGGCCCCATTCGCTGATGATTCATCTTAGGGTCACCTGACAAGAAGGGTGGGCCCCTGCTATTGAACCACAAACTCAGAACCAGAGGACAGGGAGGTCCCCTATGCCTACACTTCAGTTTCCAGAGTCCAGCTGGAGAGAGGCCAGCACAGGGGTCCAGAGCCCAGGCCTGAGGCAAATCCTGGCCACTCATCAGATGCATGACCTCTAGCAAGTCACTTGAGGCCCTTGCTAGGCCTCAGTTTCTTCACCTACAATTTGGGGACCACAATAAGACCTGCCCCCTAGGGTCCCTGTGAGGATTAAATGAGATCTGAGTTGAAGGTGAAGGTGCTTTCCTAGCCCTGATAACCCCATTAAAGAGGGAAACAGGCTGTGAGGGATAAAATGCCTTGTGACCCCAGAGGCCCTGCTTAGGGAGCCTGCCTGTGGCCTTCTGGCTCCAGCCACCACACCATGCCTAAAGAGGGTGGGTGTTGGCTGATAGCAGGCTGGGGTATCCCCTTCCCCTATCCACCCAGACAGAAGGGCTGGTGGGCACTGTACGGCCAAACTACCTTCTTTTATTAGATTTTCAGTAAAAACACCAACCATGTCAGAATTTCCACACAAGACTTCTAAAACGCATAGCAGACTGAGACCCAGACGGGGTGGGCCTGAGGCGCTCCCTCTATCAGGTTTTGAGGCGGGTTGAGCGCCGTGGTAGTGGGGGTGGAGGGGGTTGGGCTGTCACCTTGCTGGGGGTTTTAGCTGTGTCCTGGGTGCTGGGCTGGGTGGGTGTGCGGCCGCCAGAAGTGAACAGAGCAGTCAAGGCGTTCCGGGCATTGATTGCACACCGGCGGCTCACGGGCCTGCTGGTAGGGCTGGGGTTCTTGGCCTTCTTGTATTTCTAGACACAGAAGGTACAGGTAAGGCAGGGCCTCCTGCCCACCTCATATGCTCCCTCCCAGCAGCTGCCTCCGCAGCCTGGCTGAGACTGCATCGGACATGCTGTGACTGTGTGTGTGTGTGTGTGTGTGTGTGTGTGTGTGACCCTGTATGATGCACTCAGCCTCCCCAGGCCAGAGCTCTGGAGCTAACAGCCCTGGCCCTCAGCTCCCCCCAGAACAATAGCACAAAAAGCTGGGCCCCACCCCTGCTCAGGTTCCCTCCGTGGGCTGAGGCCAAACACAGGAGGAAGGTGGCTGCTGGCCATGCCCGGCAGCTAGGGTGGGCGGGTGGAGCAGCAGGCCCAGCTCACCTGCAGGTTCTCGAAGTGGGCCAAGGACTTGCAGTGGGACAGCTGTGCCCCCGAGTTGCTGTGGTAGAACTTGTGGCAGATGCGGCAAATGTAGCCCATTACGGGCACCAGGAAGTCCACACCTGTGGGGCGGCAGCGTCTATGCACTTATCCCCCATGCCGACCCGGTGGCCCTCCCTCTCTAGGAGCCCATTTGCTTGCCCACCCTCCAGGTGAGAGGAGAGAAGAGGACAAGGGGAGAGGCTGCCTGGCCTCTCCTGCAGGGGGGTCAGGGCTAGGGTCTTACCGTATGCGGTATTGGGGCTATAGGTCTCCGAGCCTTTCCACTCCTCTATGGATATATCTCTGGACCTCACCTAGAAATATGCAAGTGTGGGCCTTGGTTCAAGCTTCCCCTGAGCTCCTCCCAAACGCTGGTGGGGCCTGGTTTCCACCCACATTCTTCAACACCGCCCCCTTGATTCCCAGGAGGAATATATCCGGGAGGTTGTGGGTGGCATTTTCTGAGCCTTTGCACAAGCTGATCCTGCCAGATTGTCCTTCCCAATCTATACTTTTTGAGTTCAGCTCAATCAGTCCCCTCCTCCAGGAAGCCCTCCTGCTTCCACAGTGACCATAATCCGTGCCACGTGTGCGCAACACATCACGAGTGTCCTCTCTCAATCCCGTAACAACCTTCCTAGGTTCACCCATCTTACATAAGAGGAAACTGAGGTCCACGCACATTAACTCACTTGCCCAGGGTTTATAGAGGAGCAGAGTAGTTAACCCTGGTGAGCCCTAACCCTGGTTACACTCTTAACCACGAGCCCCCCGTGCCAGCTCCCTGAATTCTTGATATTGCAGTGACCTCAGTCCCAGGGGAGCTGGGTTTCAGGTGATCAAGGACTCCTCGTCTCACTGGCTGGATGCGAGCCCCTTCCAGACGAGGCCATCCAACTCCAGCCACGGCAGCCCCACCACACTTAGCAGTGCCCTCCTCACTTACCAGGCAAATGTGCCTTCCAAGGGCGACAACCACTCCCCTTTGCCACCCTGGGCTTTGGCCCACCCTCACAGCCTGAGCTGGGACCGTTACTTCTAAGCAGAAGAACTGGGGCTCCGAGAAGCCGAGGGGCTTGCCTGAGGTCAGGCCAGTGCCGATTGCATGTAACGAAGTGGCCTCACCCCAAACCTGCTTAGGGCTGAGGATCGCCCTTGCACCCCTCCATCCACAGCCCCTCCATGTGCCCCTCAGGCTACCCCTCACTACTCTGGACTGGCAACGGGCAAGCTCTGGGCGGGCAGGGGCCGTGCCCTCCACATATCCCCACGGCCAGCACCAGGGCCTGGCTCAGAGCAGCTGCTTTTCATTTCTTAACACGAAGAGAACCCAAGTTCCTCCAGCTCCTCCAGCTCCTCGCTCGTGGGAGGGAGCTGGGGCGTTTGGAGCACGGGCTCTGGAGCCTCGCTTCCTGGCGTCCAAGTTGGTGAGATTCAGCCAGGAAAGCGGTGGGTACATGCCTGGCATATAATAAATGCTCAGAAAGTGCTGACGGCTACTATCGTCATCAACCTCATCTCATGCTGACAGAATTCTGTGTACCCCGCATAGTTCTCTCCATGCCCTTATTGGCCTAAGACACCCTTTCCCTCCCTAAACACAAGTCAAGATTTCAGCCAGGCTTCGAGGTCCTGCAGCTGGCCACCCTGCCGTCCTCATGATGTGTATTTACACCGAATCACAGGGAATATAGTCCTGTTCACACTAAATCATGGCAGGCCTTACTGCCTACAAATGTCAGCACAGCGGCCCCTGGCCCCTGGGAGGCGGGGTGAGGTCCCGCCTGGGCTGGGAGTCCAGCCTCCAGCCTGCCCCCCACGCCCCCTCCGCCCCTAAGCACCTGCTTGCAGAATTCCTCCTCCACCTCGATCTCTTCTTCTTCATCTTCCTCTTCCTCCTCCTCCTCCTCATCACCCTCAAAGCAGCCCACAGCGTCCACTGTGATGAAGTGGTCCTCATCTTGACCGGCTAGCTCCTTCTCGAGCAACTTCAGCTGCCCAGGGGAATGGGCCAGGGCTCAGGTCAGCTCTGGGCACACGAGGTGCCACCCCACCCCCACCCCCGAGAGTCCCAATCCCTCCAGACCTGCCGAGTTTAGGCCGGGATAAACCTCAGCCCACTGTGTGGTCTCGGCCAAGGCTCTGTGCCTCTCTGGGCCCATGTCCTCCGAGGGAGCTGGGGGTTACCTCCTTGGCTTTGTCCTTGTGCCCCTGGGACTTCACGTGCTCCACAAACTTGCGGGGCGTCTTGAAATAGCGGTTGCAAACAGTGCAGAAAGGTCGCAGGGATTGCTTGGCGATCTGACGAAAGGAGGGCAGGCCAAGCGGGTGGCGGGCGGTGTCCCCAGGGGCAGCCAGGCTGTGCCCAGTAACACCTCCTCTCCCACTTGCAGGCCTCCACATCTGTCATCAGCTGGTTGTGCTCCACCCCTTTCCCAGAACATGGGCACACACAGCCCCTCCCTGCGTCGTGGGCTTCGAGACGGGATGGCAGGTGGCAACGGAGGACAGACACAGGGCAGGGGGAGAGAGAAGAGCTGCCAGGAGGACCCCCACAAGCCCCATAGCAGGGAGACAGCACGTGTGGGCGCCTTTGCAGCTCATACCTTGTGGTCCTGCGTCCTGCGGTGTTGGATCAGGTCACCCATGTAGTAGACCTGGCAGGTGTTACACCAGCGCCTCGGCGGGGGCTCTCTGAATGGTGACAATTAGAACAAGGAGTGTGACACTGCTCTCGTTGGAAAGACAGCCACTCTCCCAAGACGCCCCATAAATGTAATGCAACTCCAACACGATGTGTTTTTAGAAACTTAACAACAGTTCTGAGATGCATCTGGAAAAATACTTAGACAAGAATAATAACCAAGGAAGCTTGGTGGGGGGTGGGGAGATTTAGAAGCATCTGGGATCCCAGGAGGCCAGCAGGGCAGTGACACACCTGAGCATATCTGGCCCCGAAAACTCTTTATCCTTCAGTTTAGATGCCCTGTAGTTCCTGGAGCTGTTCTTGCCCCGCCCCCTACTCCTGGACCTGCCCCCTACCCGTAAGCCAGACTCGCCCCTGGCACCCCAAAGGGCCATCGCCACAGCATTTTCTACAACGGACAGGGAGGACCTGATCCCTTCTGTGCCCCTGCTGAACTGTGGTGAGCTCTGGGAGGCCAGGACTCCCAGAGTCCCAGGACCAGGCACGGGATCGGCCCCTAGTTTCTGACTGCGTTGGATGAAGGAAGGACGGGCAGCCTATCGGAAGGACTGCCATGACCTGTGTGGCCTCAGGGGCCCTGGTGAGGCTTCAAGGGAAGACAGTTCAGTGAATCTCCTGCACCTAAAGCCTGCTCGTAGGACGGGCTAAACCTTTCTAGTTTTCTTGTGTCCACAAGATAGGTTTTTATATAACCAAGCTCATTCTGCAAATGCAGATGTGAACCGTGTTCTAACCCGACGCTGCATCATACCTGTGTCCACGGTCTCAGGAACTCCCTGGTATTGTCCTTTATGAGCTATTCCACCAAGTGGATGAGCCTGAGCTAACTCATCCCACAGGAGTGGAGATTTTCAACAGTTTCCAATTAAACTTTTTCACCATGACAGTCCTCTGCAAGGAACATCTTTGGGTGTCACCTTTCCTCTGTATTTATGATTACTTCACCTAAGTATAATCCCTGGGTCCTCGAGCAGGGGAGGTTTAAGGCTCGAGAACATGCTACATGACCACGTCAGGAAGTTCTTCTCAAAGTGAGAACCACCTAACAGAGGCGCCGCTGCCTCTGGAGAGAGCACTCCGTCACTCAGGGCATGCAAGCAGCAAGCTCCAAGCTGTGACCCTCTGTGAGCGCTCCTGGCAGAGTCCCCAACCACTGGGCGTGTGATGGGGTTGGATTCGGGCTCCCTAGGCTTCTTTCATTTTGATTCTGAACTAGCTGCTAACATTCTGAAATTGGGAGATTTCCCATACAAAGCTGGGTTTCTCGATGCTCCAGAACAATCAGGAGACCTGGAGCGGAGGAGCAGCTGTCCTGTGAGACAGAGCCCAGGTCCCCCAGCCTGGCCCGAGGCAGTGCTGACCTGCTTCTCTCCTCCCTGTAGGCCTCTGTGACTGCCCACAGGATGGTGAAAGGTCTTCCAGCGTCCACCAGGCCTCCTCAGCCCAAGAGCTAGTCCTGGACTCCAGGAGGGCTCACATTTTGGATCAATGACGCGCCCATGACAATGAAAGGGGGACAGGCAGGGTAGCTGTAACTTCAAGCCACAAGATGACTGATCCCCGGGTGGGGTCAGCACATATGCCAGGGAAGCAGGCGTCTGTGCCACTACCCGCTTCCTTCCCATGTGGGAAGTGCCTGGATGGCACCTTAAGAGACTATCTAGTTCATGAACTCTTGCACTGCACCCTTGACCAGGCCATCTCACAGATGAGGAAAACTGAGGCCCACAGGTCCACAGTTAACAGTGTGACGAGGCCTCCGGCGGCGACCAATATGTAACCCAAAGGCAGACCTTGCAGGTGGTGGACTCAGGGCCCCTCTCGGCCTTGCCTGGCCTGCAAGACCGTCTACCCCCCAGCACGGAGCCTCCGAGACCCCCCACTCACTCGTCCTCTCTCTCTAGCACGTCCCGGGGCACGGGCAGCAGGGACAGGAGGCAGGCCTGGCTCATGTGCTGGATCTCCCCGAGCCGCTGCTGGTGCTGGGCCCCTGACATGTGGTTCTGGAACTCCTGCAGTGGGATGAAGAGTGAGCCCTGGAGCGACGAGCGAGGGTGGGGCCCGGGCAGGCAGCCTGTGGCCTCAACTTCATGGCCACTGTGTCGCCGCCGCCGAGGCCATCTGTCTCACAACAGCCCTGTGGGGGCCAGAGGAGGATGGCGACCTGAGGCCCCGAGTGAGCACACAGCAGCCAGAGCTCCTGCTGTTTCTCCTGGACACCGTGTGAGCCCCTCGGAGACAAGGAGCAGTCCGACTGACCTCCAGACCCCACTGCTCTGCTCAGAATGACACAGGCTACAACAGCAAATGGTCATAACAATACGAGCAGAATGCTCTTGTTAAGGCACCACGCTCGCTCTGGGCTGGGCCGGGGGTTCGTGATTTCAATGTCAAGTCACTGAATCCTCGGAGCCTCCCAGCAAGGTGGGTTCTTGTTTTTTTGTTTTTTTGAAGATTTTATTTGAGAGAGAGAGAATGAGAGAGAGAGAGCATGAGAGGGAAGAGGGTCAGAGGGAGAAGCAGACTCCCCGCTGAGCAGGGAGCCCGATGCGGGACTCGATCCCGGGACTCCAGGATCACGACCTGAGCCGAAGGCAGTCACTTAACCAACTGAGCCACCCAGGCGCCCAGCAAGGTGTGTTCTAAATGCTTCTTCATCTGAAGCACGAGCAAACAGAGGCATAAGGAGGGGAGTTCGCCTTCTGACGTCTATGCAGCTAGGCAGGGCTGATTCAGACCTGGCCTGCTGCACTCGCAGATACTAACTTCTTGGCTGGTCAGGAAATGTTTCCAGAGCAGATGCACAGCTGCATCTGCTCTGCCCAGCGGAACCCCCCGTCCCCGGCCCACAGTACCTGCTGGCTGCTACAGTTGGCCTTACAAAGGTAGCAGAAGAACTGGAGGGTCTGCTTAGAGGGTGTGCTGGCGGCGGCCAGGGCGGCAGACGCAGAGTCGCCAGCGCGGGGCATGGGGGTGACGGGGACGGTGCTGAAGGCCCGGCTGTCACTGCTCTGCAGGATGGTGACCTTCAGGGAGCCCCCGGCACCCCACACCTGCACCGGGAGCAGGGGCAGAGCTACCACCCGCGGGGCACCTGTGGTGGGCCTGCCCCTGGGCCAAACGCCCGTGAGTGGCATCTCCCCGGACCCTCCTGACAGCCCCCTTCACAGATGGGGAAACGGAGGTGCTGAGCTGGTAGGTGACTGCCCAGGCTCACAGAGCTGGGGCGGACGACAGCCGGGACTCAAACCTAAGCCCACCCAACTGTGAAGTCCACCCCGCCCCACCCTCCTGTGAGAGATGGAGAAACGGAGGCACAAAGAGCGGTTTTGGCCGCAGTCCCCCGATGAGGCGGAGCAGGAACCTGAACCGCATGCAGAGGCTTTCGCTCTGTGCTCTCCCCGCTAGAGCAAAGTTCCCCCTGTGAGGGGACCAAGGGCTCTAGTTTGGGGATGGGCAGGCTGGAAGGGACTTGTCGCCAAAAGTACCTCCAGTTCTTCAGAGCAAAGGCATGTGAAACAGTCAAGCCCAGTCTGCTCCGCCCACAGGCCAGGGGTGGTGGGGAAACGTGAGGGGCCCGGAGGAGTCGGGGCGCGAAGGCCCTCCCGCCGCTGGGCCCGCGGTACCCGAGCAGCCCCAGTAGCACGTTGACCTACCCCTAGCATCTCTCTTGCTCGTTTTTCACATTCTCCCACATCCAGGCCACTGGTCAAGTCCTCCTGGCTCTCCACGCTGACCTGGGCGCCACCTGGCTCTGGAGAGGCCTCCTCCAGGCCTGAAACAATAGATGGGTCCATCTCCTACCGGGCCCCAAGGAACCTAGGCCTGACAGCCCCTTCTCTATCCACAGCCAGGACCCTGAAGCCTCTGGTGGGGACAACCCCGAGCCCTGGTCAGGACCACATGGCGCCAGGGGAGGAGCCAAGGGCCGGGGCAGAGCTGTCCCATCATGGAGCAACTGGGAACCAGTGCTCACTTACCGGCTCCACTATCTCCCTTATCAGGCGGCGTCTCGAGCACCACGCAATGATCCGGAACCGACGCTGGCTCTAGGGCCGGCACCGACACCCGTGGCGGGGGCTGAGGCTGTGCCTCAGTCTGGTCAGGCGGCTGGCCTGGCGACGGCCCTGGAGGTTGTCTCGGGGGCTGCTCCGGGGGCTGGGCCTGAGGACACGTCTGCGTCTGTGCCTGCTTCTGCGGCTGTGGCGGCCGCGGGGGCTGCGGACGTGCCTTCGGCTGCACCTGTCTCTGCAGCTCCGCCTCCTTCCGCAGCGGCTGCGGCCCCACGTGGTCCGGGGAGGTCTGTGTCTGCGCCTGCTTCTGCAGCCTGCGCTGCACCGGGGCGTCCGCGGGGGGCGTCAGTGGCTGCGCCTGCGCCTGCGCCTGCACCGGGGCCTGGATCTGCAGAACCCGGGGCTGCAACGGTGGCAGCACTCGGGCTTCCGGCGGCTCAGGCAGCAGCTCGGGTGTCTGTGTCTGCTTCGGGGCCGTGGTGCGGGCCCGAGGCTGGACCTTTGCCTGCAGCTGCCCGGGGGGCCCCCTCTCTGTGGGCAACTCTGAGCTAGGGAGGATCAAGAGATAGCTTCCTGTGTCTCCCAGTTGACCCCAGGGGCTCCTCAAAAAGATCAAGATCCACGTTCAGTCCTAGTTCTAGCACGTACAAGCTGGGCATTCGCGGAAGGGCCTGCCGCTCTGCGGGCCCCAGCCGCGCCTAAATAAATTGGGAGGATCACTGAGGCCCACCTCCCATAATCTGCTAATATGTATCCAAGGCCCTGTAAAGCCGCCCACCCTCTGCCCACTCTGAGGTCCCAGATGCACATGTTCACCTCTCCAACCTGGCCACCCAGGCTGCCTCTGGGTGGCTCAGTCCCAGGGAAGACACTGGAGACTCTCTAACTGGGCGCCCTCCCAAGTAAGATGCAGATTTGGGTTTGACCTTCCTGCAAGCCAGACGCCAAGGCCCTTTCCTTCTTCCAGCTCCCTGAAGGGTCCTGACCCCCCCACCTACACCCACCCCCAGCCTTCGCAAGAATGAGGGTACAGGGCCCCTGGGCCCCAGCGGGTTTTCAGCATCCGTTACCTCTTTGACCTCTTAGCTGGCGGCTGAGATGCCTCACAAGACTCAGGCAAAGGGGCTAGAGTGCGTTTCTCCTTAGTGATGTCATCCGGGCAGGGTGGGGAATCTTGGTCTGGAACAGAGGACAGATGAGTGACTGCCAAGCCGATGCCGTATAGAGCACAAGCTAGCTCCGAGAGACAGGGTCTGGGCTCCCCCTGCACCAAGAGCCCTGCCCCCCAGGTCTGCCTCCATCCCTGACCCTGCACCCACCTGCCCCAACCCATGGCCCCTTCCAAAGGGCCAGCAGCCTCCCTCTCTTACCTTCTGGTGTGTTTGTTCGGGACTCGACAGCTTCCTCAGACCCCTCTGGGGGGTCTGACTTGTCTTCCACAGGTATCGTCTGAGAAGAAGAATCCTGCTTCCTTTCAGAAACTGGTTCTGACATCTGCCGCCCACCCAGGTAAGTACACCCTGGCCCAAGAGCAGCTGTGACAGGCCCCTAGGGGATGAAGGCGCCCAGGGATCCGGGGACCTCTGGTGAGGCCTGGCCCAGAGCTTCCCACAGATGATCCTAAGCACCCCAGGAATCGTGTCTAGGAGGGTCCATCTAGCTGCCTGGCTGTTAACCCAGATTTGGGGGATACAGAGGGGCCCTCCTGACTCCCCAAGCACCTTCTCCACGAAGCAGCCAGCAGGATCCTTCTAAAATGCAAACCTGACCATGTCTTTTGCCTCTTTCAGTCAGAAATCCTGCTGTATTCCCCTGACTCTAGAGCACTCCTTCCTTACCCAAGCCCAAAACCACCACCCCATCTGACCTCTGCCCCCATGCCATCTCCAGCCAGCTTCCCCCCTCCCCCTCTCTATGCCCACACTGGCCTTCTCTCTGGTTCCCCAAAGTCCTCGGCCTTGTCCTGCCCCAGGCCTTCACCCAGAGCCTCACAGGCACTTCTTCCAGGAAGCCCTCCTGACCCCAGAGTAGACCCTTAATATGGGTTCCCAGAGGAGCCTGGGCTTCCTTTCTGTGGCATTTTCCAGTCTTAATTAATTGGTGGGAACATTATCTGCATGAATGTCTCACTACTGCTACCACCCTCCTCCCCAGCCTAAGACCTCCAGGAGGGTCAGGCAGATGTACCATCTGCACCACAGAGGCCCCTACAAGACTCACAGATGTTTGCTAAATAAATGCACGGCTCCAGCTGGTCCTGGGCATTCCAGTTAGCCCCAAGAGCCTGCCTGCAGGACACCTCAAACTACGACAGTGCTCGGTGTCATCTGTATCTCCGTGTGTTTGCAAAGAGAAACATTCGGTCAGTAAGATTACTGGTAGCGTTGGGATGTGGAAAAAGTTGCATCGGACGTTCGTGAATATCTGAAATTTGGGAAACCCTAGACAAGGCCCACTTACCCCCCTCTTTCTACAGATGGGGAAACTGAGGACAAAAAGGGACGTGACCTGCCCGAAGGCCCGGCGTGAGCCACGTGGGTGGAGCTGGGCTGATAGCCAGGTATGACCTTCCGACTCCCCTCCCCCCCCACGGCCCCCCCTAGCCACCACTCACCTTGCGCTGGGGGGGGGTGGAGGAGGGGGTGCGGGCCTGTTTCTGCGGAGTCCGCCCTGAAAGGTTGATCTGGGAGGGGTTCATGGGGACCCCGACAGGAGGGGGACCCAGCAAGGACTGCCGAGTGGCCTGGGGGAAGAACTGCTGTAGATTTGGGGTGGCCAGCTGGGGGGGTGTGAGGCTGGGGGCCGTCAGGTTCGGGGCTGCCAGGTTGTAGCCACGGAGGTTCCCTGCGGGCAGGAAGAAGGGAGAAGAGAGGTTACAATGTGGTTGGATGGTAGAGGCCAGAGTCAGGCGTTCAGCCCCCCAGAGCATCACGGAAACAACACGGATGACTTTGACAGGGAAGCTTCCCACACAGCAGCCAGAGGAGAGAGATGAGAGCCAAAGGCCCACTCCCACCTTGGGCATTGGTAGTGAGGGGGCTTTAGGGCTGGTTTTCTGCTGAGGAGGAGAGGGACACCCTGATCAGCAGCTTGTGCAACCCCACTCACCCTCTGGCACGCTTTGGGGCACACCTTAAGGTGTGTGAAAGACCCAGCACAGTACCCATAGGAAGAGCCAGCAAGTTGACTGACTGGTCCCTGGAATATTAAGACACTGCCCTGGGGCGCCTGGGTGGCTCAGATGGTTAAGCGTCTGCCTTTGGCTCAGGTCATAATCCCAGGGTCCTGGGATCGAGCCCCACATCGGGCTCCTGGCTCAGCGAGGAACCTGCTTCTCCCTCTCCCTCTGCCTCTCTCCCTGCTCATGCTCTCCCTCTCTCTCTCTCTCTCTGTATCTGTGTCTCAGATGAATAAATAAAATCTTAAAAAAAAAAAAAAAAAAGACACTGCTCTATCCCCCCAACCCCATCAAAGGTCTACTGGGAACCAGGCAGTTGCTAAGCACTTTGCGTGCACGGCCTCCGTCACTCGGCTCAGCCACCATCAGGGTAGGTACTGTGATCTCTACCAATGGCAAAATAGACACAAAGTGGAGGTGTAGCTTGCCCAGGGTCTCTGCTTATTCTGCCTTCACTCCTCTCCACCTGCCTAAATCCTTCCATAGCTCCCTGCTGCTTGGAAAGGAGCTCATTCCTCACCTTGCGGGGGTCCGGCCCTGCCCTCCTCCCAGACCTCCTTTCTTGCCATTCTCCCCACACATGCCCCCACTATACTCCAGCCATGCTTCTGTGCATCCCTCAACAAGCCTGGTTTCTTCCCGCCTCTGGGCCTTTGCAGATGCTGTTCCTTCTGCCTGGGCTATTCTGCCCCCACTACTTCCTGGTCATCCTTCAGATCTCCCTTTAGGTGTTTATCTTCTGAGAGTTCTTCTCAGAACCACTCTGTGTCCCCAGAGGCACTAGCTTCCCTGTTCTAGGACCAACTACACAATTTCCTGTCTGCTTCCCACTGCCCACAACCCAACCACCCTGGGAACTCCTATAAGGGCAGGTGCCTCATCTAACTCAGAGGCCTAGTGCTCAGGAAGTGTTTGAACCATAAGAGACAATCCAAATCCTTGCTCCAAAACTGGGACGGGAACCATAGGGATTGAGGACATGGGTCAAATGTGTTCTCATATCTAGTTCAAGCCCTATAGCCCAAGCTCTGCGACCCTGAGCAAATCAATTCCCCCTTCTTAGCCCCAGTTCCCTCATCTGTACAATGGGATAATTATAGCACTTGACTCACTGTTTTATGAGGATATACAAGTGTGCCTGGGATCCAGTAAGTGTTCAATTAACATTAACTTAAAACAAAACAAATACATGTACACATATGTGCAGAGAGAATGCCAACCGGCTATTAAAAATAGTAAGATCAAGAGATCTCAAAGCTCTAAAAGAAAAATGGACAAAGGACATGGACAAGTCACAAAAAGAAATATGAATGTTTAACAGACAAATAAAAAACGTTCGACTGAACTAGCACTCCAATAAATGTAAACTAAAACATTAATGATGTAGCTTTTTGCCAACCAAGTTAGTAAATCATGTGTATATACATATATATATATATATATATATAAAAAGCATATAATACCCAGTGTTGCCGTGGGCATGGTGAGACCGGTACTGTCATACGTGGCTGGTGGCATTGCAAACTGGTCCAGTCCTTTGGGAAAGCAAGTTGGCAATACTTATCAAGAGCCATAAAACATCCATCCCCCGACGCAGCTTTTCTACTTTTCGGAATATGTTCTAAGAAAATCGTCTCAAACATGATATTCATGCCCATGTTATTTAAAACAGAGAAAAAAGAAAAAAGAAAAAACAAAGCGGAGTGGGGAGAAAAAGGAAGCAGCTGAGTTTAGGTACATGAGGGCTTGCCCTCCAGTGGAATACAAACAGCTGTTAAAAAAAAAATCTTCACAGACACTGTCAAATCATCTGGTAAATGATCATGCTATTCTATTCCGTGAAAAAGAAGTAAAAGACAGCCTTTCAGTTCCATGTCAATAACCAACCACAATCATATACAAATTCCCAAGTTTGGGCCTAGGAAAAAATAGGAGGAAATACACCAAAACCGTGACAGGTGTTTTTTGCTTTTGTTTTTGTTTTCCTTCAGAAGGTGAGTGACTCTATGACAACTTGGGTTTCCTTATCCTCTAAAAATAATTTTTTTCACTTTTCTTTGATGAGTGTGATCTTTAAAATAGGAAAGAAAAAGGGGGAAATACATATGTATACATCGTGTGTGCTTTTCTCTCTCCACCTGCCATCGATCGACTGCCCTCGATCATTTGTAAATCAACTCCAGGACCTTCCATGCGTATGTGGCAGGGCTGAGAGTGACAGCCATCACATCTTCTGACCTGGCAGCATAACCAGCTGGATGGCAGGACAGCCTAGTATCTAAGAACAGAGTTGTGTAGCAAGACCTGGGCTCTAACTCTCCCTCTAATCCACACCTACTCCCTGTGTGACCCTGTAGGCACATGATTCTTCTCTAGGCCTGTTTTTTCATTCGTAAAATGGGAGCACGAGTGTATCTCACCCCGCACCCCCAGAGTTGTCAGCAGAGTCGAGGAACTGTGTTTGTAAAGGTCTCAGCACAGTGCACCGCCCAGAAGGACCACACAGCAAGCCACAGCTACCATGCAGGAGGGGCTGGGTCTGAACATGAGCTGGCCCTAGGTCACTGGGCTCCTAAATTAATACCGAAAGGGCTTGATATCCCAGAGCTGCGTCTCAGGAGGAAGAGCTGAGAGACTGCTCTCCACATGAGGACACTGAGACAAGGACACAGGCTTACTACATACGGCTAGACGCACCCAGAGAAGGCACCACAGGGGTCAGAAGGCTCAGGCTTCATCTAGCTGCATGACCCAGGGCAAATGACTTCCCCGAGCTCTGGACCTCAGCTTCCTCATCTGTCAAATGGGATGTGGAAGAGAGTGATCCAAAGAGATCTTTTCCTCCATCATTTCATCTAATCTGAACGGGAGTGAGCTGTGCTGAGTACTGCCCACAGAGCCAGCACCATGGCCAAGGGCACACCTCTGCGATCAGACAGAGCTGCGTCCAGCTGAGCAACTTTGGGACTTCCACCTCCTGGAGCCCCCGAGTCCGCATCTGCAAACTAGGGCGCCGAGAGTAGCTCCCTCTCAGAGTTAGCGTGTGGATTTGGTGAGATTGAGTGCAAATGGGGATGCCAGGGCACCACCCCTGAGTTGCAGTGAGAAGGGGCCAGTCCTACCTTGCAACTGCTGCAAAAGCAAAGCTCTCTGTAGCACAGAGCCGTTGAGGAGGGAGGCGGAGTTGGCACCTTGGAGATTCAGAAGCTGCTGCTGTGGCTGCTGCTGGGGAAGCCCCCTGTGTGTTGGGAGGGGGTGTCAGAGGACTTTGGGAGAGTCAGAGCCTCCCTCTTCCCTCACCTCCACTCTCTGCCCCTCTCTACCGCAGACAGAAGAACCTCGTAAGGTGGGAACTAATGGCTTCCAGGACTGAAACAGGGATGTCCCTGGGAGAAAGGGCTGGGATGGGGTCTCCACGACGGGTCTGAGCGGCAGGGCTGAAGCCGCCCACCCCTCCAGAGGGGAACTCACCGGCTGACGGCCATGGGCAGTGGGGCTTGCGGCGGGGACTGCTGCAGCAGCTGCAGGAGTTGCTGCTGCTGGAGCTGCTGGAGCTGCTGCTGCTGCTGCTGGTTGAACATGGTGGCTGAAGGAAGGACACGGAGTAAGGCAGGACCCCTGAGTCCGCGCCTATCCACTCCTGCCCGTGGCCCTCAAACACCTGCCCGCTGAGCTTCACGGCCACACTGCAGTCCTGCCAAGAGCATGCCGCATTCGCACCCCCATGCTTTCAATAAACCCCCCCTCCCGCCACTTTCCCGCAAATCCTGCCAACAGTCCCTCCCTCAAACGCCCAACCCCGCCCGCCATCTCCCCCACTCCCATGGCTCGGTCCTTCCAGGGGCGTCCGACGCAAATGCAGCTTCCCCGCCCCCAGCCTTTCTCGCGTCGTCACGCCCCGATGCCAGCCCCTCTCCACACCCCCACCCCTCCCTCGTGCCCCTTTTGTCAATAACAGCACCCCCAACCTTTCGCTTTGGCCTCTGAACAAAGTGGGAGGAAGGCTTCCCTCCCCCACTCCGCTAAGCCCTTCCTCTGCAGATCCAGCCAGCATTACACATCAAATCCGGCCACCCCACCTGCCCGCGACGCCCGCAGCCTCCATCCAAGTGGCCCCTAAGCCTTGCGTGCGTCCACCAGGCGCTCTCGGCCCGCGCACTTCGCTTCCCCAAACCCCCGCCCAATCGCCCCGCCTCCACTGGCAGAGCCGACTGGGCCGCTGGAACTCGCGGCTCCGCCGGGGCCTGGCCGCTGGAAAGGCTGGTCTGCGGGCCTGGCCGCCGCAGCGCCCTCTGGAGGACCGGAGGACCCAGTGCCGCTAGCCGCGCCGCGAGGTCCTGTCCCGCGCTCAGGTCTCGCTGCGGGGACGGAGCCCGCTTACCCGGCGCCTCGGCCGCGGCCGGCGCGGCTGGGGGCTGCGAGGGGGCCCGAGGCGGCGCAGGCCTTCCGCCCCGCGTCCTCCTGCCCGGGAACTGGCGGCTCCGAGCCCGAGGTCTGTCTGTCTCCCGGAGGGGTCTGTCGTCTGGCGGGGACATCGCGGGCGATTTCGAGAAGGACCTTCCCCAACCGACCTCCCCGGGCCGCCACTGTCCCGCGATCCAGGGGCCCCGCGCGGGGCTGGGGTGGGAGGGGCCGTGCAGCCGGCCGCGGCACATTCGGGGACCGAGACCCGGCGAGAGGGTGACAGGCACAGCGAACAGAAGGTCCGTCTCAAGGTGTTTCTTCGATTTGACTCGGGACGGGGTGAGGAGGGCTGAGTTCAATTATGAAAAACGGCGCTCATCCTGAGCCTGAAATTGTCCTGCCCCGAGGACACTTTAATGACGACTCGGTCCCTCATCCCGGCGCCCCTCTCCTTGGTCCCCACATGGAGTCACTGAGCCAAACAACCCGTGGTCACTCAAATAGCGATCCCTTTTCCTTTTTCTGTTACCAAAATTGGTCCCTAAAGGTAACAACAACCCGGGGCAATCGGCTTCTTTTGCAAGAAGCGCCGATTGCGCGCGGGGCACGGCGCACGGTGGCGCTAGAGGCGTGCAGATTGGAGGCCGGCCCAGCGCGCACGGCCGCGGAGGCCCGAGGGAGTCAACCAATCCCTGCAGTCGTGTGACAAGCGCTGCCCTAAAGCTCTGGACCCGCTCCACTGCAGCCCCGGGCGGCCGCACCGGTGCCTAATTCCGCCTGGATTTAGAGGCGCGAAAGTGGCTCAGCGTGGCCACAGCACGAGGCAGGGGCCGGAGTCAGTAGGACGTCGCGCCCTTGGGTGGAAGGGCAGCCTGGACCGTGGGAGCTTTGAAGGCCTGGCCTTGGGCATAATTTATCCTGAAGGGCGGGGAGCGCTAAGGAAGGGTGTGACAGCATCACATGCGCCCGGATTAGAAAACTCACTTGGTGAGAACCAAGACGGAGCCAATGGGGAGGGAGAGAAGGGGCCGAGTCAAGATCGCTTAGGCTTCCTTCCAACCAGGTCCAAGCACGCTGACACCCTGGTCTGGGTGCCAGCAGAAGTTGGAGAAGTTGAATCCGGGCTCCACAACCTTCTGGCTAGGCGAGTCCAGCCCCCGGGAGAGTCCTCTCCGAGCAGGTTCTTCGTCTATAAAATGGGTGTTCCCTTCCAGGGTGTGTGTGAGGATAATATTACGTAATGCTTAGCGCTAGCCCTTGGCAGAGTGAGTTTAGCAAATTGCTAAAGTAAAAACAAACAAATAATAAAACTAAAAATAAGGCTCATGCTGGTGATTCTGTGTTGATTCATTTTTCTGAAAAGCAACCTGCAAATTCTCTTATCAAGATTGAGCGTGGGGGCGCCTGGGTGGCTCAGTTGGTTAAGCGACTGCCTTCGGCTCAGGTCATGATCCTGGAGTCCGAGGATCAAGTCCCGCATATCCCTGCTCCGCAGGGAGTCGGCTTCTCCCTCTGACCCTCCCCTATCTGGTGCTCTCTCTCTCTCAAATAAATAAAATCTTTTTTTTTAAGGTTTTTTCATTGGAGACGCAGAGAGAGAGAGAGAGAGAGAGAGAGAGAATATGAGCAGGGGGAGAAACAGAGGGAGGGGGAGAAGCAGGCTTCCCGCTGAGCAGGGAGCCCTATGCGGGGCTCCATCCCAGGACCCTGGGATCATGACCTGAGCCGAAGGCAGACGCTTAACCATCTGAGCCACCCAGGCACCCCTCAAATAAATAAAATCTTAAAAAAAAAAAAAAAGTTCTCGAACGTGTTCTGCCCTTTGACCTGGTAACCCCTCTTGTAGGAAACGTGCCCAAGAAAATAATCAGAAAGGAGAATTTTTAAAGCCAGCAGGTCATTCATGGAAACATTATTTATAATAGCTACCTGGAAAGTAATCAACCTTAGGAGAACAGCTAAGTAAATCATGGTGTCTGCCTCTTAAGGAATAGCACACAGCCCTCAGAAATTATGCTTTCAAAGGTTATGTAAACACCCACGATATGATGTGAAGTGAACTCAGCAGGCTACAAAATTGCACACACATTTATGATGCTGGTTTTGGAAAAAATAAATATATGTGTGTAGTGGACTCGTGGGGGGTTTTCACTTTCCTTTTTTCTAATTTGCTGTAATTGGTTTGGATGACTTTACCATGGGGAGGGAATGGAACATTTTTTAGAATGTATATAACTTTGTGCTGACTCCTTGAAGACCAGACAAGATAATGGCTGGTAACTCTCTGGGGACACTGTTCAGGGCAAGACGCATGTTAATTGCTTTTAACCAATCCCTTGCTGGCAAAGCCCCCCAATGGACTATGCTCAGAGGGAGAAGGGAGGCCCTGTCTCTTTGCATCTGAAATGAAGTCTGAGGCTGTAGCATCACCTGGAGGTCTCTTACTTGCCTCTAATTTGAGCTGCACCGTTATCACCCAATAAACTCTTATGCTCATACAGATCCAGTTCCAGACCTATTCTGCTCCAGGAATCTACCCATCTCTTCTCCTGATGCTACCACAAAACATGATTATTACAGTTTGGGAATATATTTTAATGCCTGATAGCACAAGCCCCCAACATTATCATGCTTTACAAAAAAAATTTCTTGCCAATTCCCGATTGTGTAAAAAAATTTTTTCTAAGTAAATTGTGGAATGATGTTGTTAAACCACTCCCCCCACGACCCCCTGCCAAATCTCAAGTTGCATATAATAATATATATCAGAGCTTCTTCCACGCTGATGTGCATAGGAATCTCCTGGAGCTCTGTGGTTTTTGTTAAACGGAGGTTGTGATCCAGCAGGCCATGAGCAGAGCCTGAGATTCTGCATTTCCTTCCTTCCTTCCTTCCTTCCTTCCTTCCTTCCTTCCTTCCTTCCTTTCTTTCTTTCTTTCTTTCTTTCTTTCTTTCTTTCTTTCTTTCTTTCTTTCTTCTTTCT